GGCAATATATAACAAATCAGCACATATAACAAAAGTCAGGAGGCTATACAAGCTATAACAGCACACTATGCTTCCAGAGCCTTCCCTAATGGGTCACCACTTGAACTATCACCTGAAGATAGTAAAAACCACAGGGTGAGACAAACGTCTCAGTAACCAACTTTCCAACTCATCATACATACTAACACGTGCTTGTGATGTGTCAAGTGGGACAATTATTAATTCTAAAAAACATAGATATATAATTTCAATCATCCAAACCCTCACTATGGGAGCTAACACACAAGCCATATAAGTCTATCCCTCACTATGGGGGATTAATCAGACATATAGACATATCCCTCACTCTGGGGATGAATAAGAAGCCATAAAGGTCTATCCCTCACTATGGGGAACAAAGGAAGAAGCCAACCAATGTGCACCAATAGCGGCCTTACCACGTGGTAGGATCGGACTCAATCCAAAATTCAAATAATAACCCATCATTCACAATATAATAAAAATGTCTCAATCTTTTTTCAATATAATACATAGGATATAAATCATATATTTTTTCAAACTTCTCAATCACAATTTTAAAAATCCCACAAGACAATTTTCATAGCTCAAAAGATGTAACTTATCTACTCGAATTCCAAATAACAAATATTATTCAAAAATAGCAAAATACTCACAAACAACATATTAGCAAATACAACATGTGGAAAGTAGTTACCTCTTACCAAAGCAATAAAAAGGATTACCACAAGGTCAATCCTTTGCTCAACCAATAATTAATCTACATAATTAGTATAATCACATATTAATATAAACTAATTAATTAATTAATTAATTAAACTTCTTTATATTAGTTAAATTTCTAATTTAATTTAATCTTTATTCTAAATTCCCGCAACTCTCATAACCCAAAGTTAAGTATTTTAAAAATAACTTAAAATTTTCTAAAAGCCAAATTGTTTATTTATAACCTCCGAATCAATTACCTTACTAAAAAGAATTTTCCAAATTTTCAAATATAAGATTATTATGTTCTAAATTCTCAAAATCAAACTATAAAAAATTCAATAATATTTCAAATATCTATAAATAAATAATCTAATCAAAACTTTAATGATATAACCATTATATATATATTTTCATCAATAATAAACTTTTTAGCTAAAATAATTATTTTAAAAACTTCCAATCACCCAATAAATAAAACTAAACCCGATTAAAATCTTAATAATATGTTAAACACCTCAAATAAATTATTAAACTTAATTTTAATTGGTACAATATGATGTAAATCATAGATAACATATTTTTCAACTAGAAAAATCAATTTAAGCACTAAAAACCAACAAATGGACAAATCTAACTGATTAAAATTAACAACTCATTTACCTATGAATTTCTATGATCATCTTTTACCAAAACTCCATATTGATATCATACATAAGCCTCAAAATTTTCTCTAAGTACTTTAGTAATACTATCATTAGGAAACCTAAAATATATAGGAAATATTCAAGAAGAAAGTTTGATAAAAAGAACTATATTTATGTATCTAGATGATCCCCAAAGCTTGTATTATCCTTCAAAATGTTAAACCTTCTCTGCTCTTCTCTCGTTCTCTCTTTCTCTGATTCTTGTTCTCTCTTTCTCGTTCTCTCTCTTTCTCCTTGCATACATTTTGTCTTCTGCGTCTCCTCTCCCTTTTTATCTCCCATCTTTCAACCACCCAGCGCAAATTTTCTTTCTGCATTTAATTCTCCTTCCCCCAAAGTCTTCCTTCCTCCTTCTAAAGTCTTCTTTCTGATCCAAATGCCTCCATTTTTTTTGCCACGCCTCAATTTTTTCATGCATCAACTTTCCACAAGTCAATTTTCCATGGATCAATTTTTCAACGGAAGTGTGGAAAGTTGCTCCCTTCTTCTTTTTGGTATTAAAATATTATTATTTTATCTTTCTTTTTTTTAAAAAAATTAAAATATTAGGATATTACAACTCTTTCCACCTAATTAGAATTTTGTCCCCAAAATTCAAACAACCACATACACAAATTAAAAACAGAAGCAACTCAAAGTGCTTACTAAGAAAACAAGTAAGGGTACTCATAACGCATCCGTTCCTCAGTCTCCCAAGTAGTATCACCAGGACTCATGCCCTTCCAAAAGACCTTAACAAGACGGATAGTCTTGTTTCTCAATTGTTTATCCTTAACATCCAAAATCCGCTCTGGTTCTGTTGGATAGGTCAAATTATCTCGCAACTCGACTTCTTCGGGTTCAATAACATGAGACGAATCGGGATGATACTTTTTCAACTATGACACATGGAACACGTCGTGTAAACAAGAAAGATGTGGCGGTAGCACAATTTGATATGCAACAGGTCCAATCCGCTCCAAAATCTCATAAGACTAGAATATGCATGAGGATGAGTTCATTGCCAAGTATATTGACCTTTCCAAGCATGTTACCTACCTGCAGCATAAAGATAATCTAGAGTGGATGGCCCGGCAATTGATAGAACGGGTGAGCCAGAGTTGAAGTAGCAAATGGTCTTATATGAGTTTAAGAGTTTTGAGGATGCCTGCACGAAACTTATGATGACAGCCCGCAGAACTCGAGAGGTAGAGGTGAGCTGACGTGGGGATAACCAGGGCAGATTCTCTAGTTTTATGAGGCCAATGGGAGGAATCAATAAAAAGAATAACTACAGTTATGGGAGCTCGGGTAACTTAAGCAGAGGCAAGAGCCAGAATCAGAAGAATTCAGCCCGTGGAGGCGTTATGTAAAGGAGACAGGCTCAGGGGAGCCGTATAGGGGGAGATCGGAGTGTCCACCATGAGCCTGTCAGATCCACACCAAGTGTTAGTGGCCCTTGCATGAGATGTGGGAGAAATCATCCAGGACAGTGTTGGGAATGCTATAGATGCCATAAGTTTGGACATCTAGCTCGTAATTGTCCAGAGACGCAGCAGCAAACTCCTAGTTTCATATCCACGGTGCCTGGGAGAGTTTTTGCTTTGACTAGAGAGGAAGCTGGTATGTCTCCTAATCTAATTAGAGGTACTGTCTCTCTTTAAGGACATGATATACCTGTTAGTTTGATTCCGGTGCCACTCATTCGTTTATTGCTACGGAATGTGCTCAAAAGTTTAAATTTCCAATGCATGATTTGTCTTACATGTTGAAAGTGTCAACTAAAGCGGGAGCCACTGTGTTAACCACACAGGTATGTTTAAGTCTTGTGCTTAAATTTGAGAATTATGAGTCAGTGATTGATTTGATTTGTCTACCCCTCAAGGGTATTGACGTGATTATTGGCATGGATTGGCTATCAGCAAATAATGCCATTTTGGATTGCAAAAGGAAGATGGTAACTCTTCCTTTGTGCACTACGATAGTTGAGGCTATTAATGGTCTTTTGTGGTTGTCTGCTACTCAAACAACTAAGTGTATTCAGAAGGGTTGTCAGGCCTATGCTGTTTTCTTTTTTGTTAGTACAGATAAAGAAGTTGGTATAGACCAAATCGACGTAGTAAAGGAGTTTCCTGAAGTATTTCCTAAGAAAATATCGGATTTATCCCCTGAAAGGGAAGTTGAGTTTTCCATTGAGTTAGTGCCAGGGACAACTCCAATTTCCAAAGCACCATATAGAATGTCACCTTCTAAGTTGGCAGAACTGAAAAAGCAAATCAAAAAGTTACTTGAAAAAGGATCTATTAGACTAAGTGTCTCACCGTAGGGATCACCAGTACTGTTTGTGAGAAAGAAGGATGGGAGCTTGAGATTGTGTATAGATTACAGGCAGTTGAACAAAGTGACTATTAAGAACAAATATCCTCTGCCTGGGATTGATGACTTGCTAGATCAACTAATGGGGTCAATGGTGTTTTCCAAGATTGACTTAAGGTCTGGATATCATCAATTAAGAGTCAAAGCAGAGCACATGCTGAAGACGGCCTTTCGCACCAGATACAGACATTACAAGTTTCTAGTAATGCCTTTTGGTTTGACGAATGCTCCAACAGTGTTTATGGACTATATGAACCAGATCTTTAGGCCGTATTTGGACAAGTTTGTGGTGTTTATAGATAACATCCTGATATACTCTAAAAATGAGGAAGAACACCAAGAGCATCTTTACATTGCATTACAAATATTGAGGGATCATCAGTTGTATGCTAAGTTAAGCAAGTGCTAGTTCTGGCTTAGAGAAGTGAAGTTCTTAGGCCATGTAATATCTACTGAGGGAGTAGCTGTTGATCCTAGCAAGGTCGATGCCGTGTTGAACTGGGAAACACCAAAATCTATGACGAAGATAAGAAGTTTTGTGGGCTTAGCTAGGTATTACTGAAGATTCATCAAGGGATTTTCTCAAATCGCCATACCTCTAACTAAGTTAACCAAGAAAGACCAACCGTTTATCTGGAACAAAAAGTGTGAGGTAGCTTTTTAAGAACTAAAGGCTAAGTTGACCACGGCACTAGTGTTGACTATTCCAGATCTTAGTAAACCGTACACCCTTTACACTGATGCTTCACTTAAGGGTTGAGGGTATGTCCTGATGCAGGAAGATAAGGTGGTTGTCTATGCATCTAGACAATTAAGGCCACATGAGAAGAATTATCCTACACATGACCTGGAATTAGCGGCGGTGGTTTTTGCATTAAAAATCTGGAGACACTAGTCATATGGATCATAGTTTGAAGTCTTCAACGATCACAAGAGCCTGAAGTATTTAGTAGATCAGAAAGAACTGAATAATAGACAATGCTGGTGGATGGAATTCATCAAGGACTATGACTTTGAGTTTAAGTATCATCCAGGTAAAGCCAACGTGGTTGCAGACACTTTGAGTAGGAAATCGGTGCATGTGTTTCACATGAGTTTAGAGGAACACTACTATTTAGAGATATTGAGAGATCTCCAAATAGTGCATGAGGCTCCAGCCACTCTACAATCAATTTTGGTGATTATGAGTTCTTTCAAGACTTGAAGGCCGCACAAATGGGGGATGACCGGTTATTGAGCATTCGAGAGGAAGTGGAGACCCGTGGTGTGCCTGATTATGAAATTAGTGAAGAAGGAATCCTGAGGTACAAGAAGAGAATTTGTGCCCCTAATAATGAGAAAATCAAAAAGACTATTCTAGAAGAGGCATATCAGAGTAATTACACGATACACCCAAGGATAACCAAGATGTACCAGGACTTGAAAAAGAATTACTGGTGGTCAAAAATGAAGAAGGATGTCACAGATTTTGTATTAAAGTGCCTGACATGTCAAAAGGTCAAGATAGAACATCAGAGACCTCCAGGACTATTAAAGAATCTCGATATTCCCTAATAGAAATGGGACAATATTTCTATAGACTTCATTACTGGCATGCCAAGAACCCTAGCTGGCTATGATGTAATATGGGTAATTGTGGACAGATTGACTAAGTCAGCACATTTCTTGCCTATCAAGAGTACTTACTCTTTAGAAAGATTGACAAAGCTGTATATAGATGAGATTGTTCGACTTCACGGAGTGTATCATTTCAGATAGGGACCTGAGGTTTACATTGAACTTCTAGCAGTCATTACATGAAGCCATGGGCACTAAGCTCAAGTTTAGTACTACTTATCATCCTCAGACTGATGGACAGACCGAGATGACTATTTAAACTCTCGAGCACATGTTGAGGGCTTGCGCTATAGAGCTAAAGGGCAGTTGGGACACTCACTTGTCATTAGCAAAGTTTGCCTATAACAACAGTTATCACGATAGTATTCAAATGGCACCATATGAAGCTTTGTACGGGAGGAAGTGTAGATCTCCACTTTGTCGGATTTAGTGAACGTCACAACCAGAAAGATTCAGCTGATCAAGCAGAAGTTGTTGATGGCCCAAAGTCGACGAAGAGTTATGCAAATCATCAGAGGAGATCTTTAGAATTTGAAGTGGATGATCATGTATTTCTGAAGGTTTCACCTGTCACTGGTGTTGGTAGATCCATTAAAGCCAAGAAGCTTACACCCCGATTTATGGGTCCTTATGAGATTTTGGAGCGGATTGGACCTGTTACATATCAAATTGCGCTACAGCCACATCTTTCTTATTTACACGATGTGTTCCATGTGTCACAGTTGAAAAAGTATCATCCCGATCCGTCTCATGTTATTGAACCCGAAGAAGTCGAGTTGTGAGATAATTTCACCTATTCAACAGAACCAGAGTGGATTTTGAATGTTAAGAATAAACAATTGAGGAACAAGACTATCCGTCTTGTTAAGGTCTTTTGGAAGGGCATGAGTCCTGGTGATGCTACTTGGGAGACTGAGGAACGGATGCGTTATGAGTACCCTTACTTGTTTTCTTAGTAAGCACTTTGAGTTGCTTCTGTTTTTAATTTGTGTATGTGGTTGTTTGAATTTTGGGGACAAAATTCTAATTAGGTGGGAAGAGCTGTAATATCCTAATTTTTTAATTTTTTAAAAAAAAAGATAAAATAATAATATTTTAATACAAAAAAAAAAAAAAGAAGGGAGCAACTTTCCACACTTACGTTGAAAAATTGATCCATGGAAAATTCACTTGTGGAAAGTTGATGCATGGAAAAATTGAGGCGTGGAAAAAATGGAGACATGTGGATCAGAAAGAAGACTTTAGGAGGAGGAATGAAGACTTTGGGGGAAGGAGAATTAAATGCAGAAAGAAAATTTGCGCTAGGTGGTTGAAAGATGAGAGATAAAAAAGGAGAGGAGACGCAGAAAACGAAGTGTATGCAAGGAGAAAGAGAGAGAACAAGAATCAGAGAAAGAGAGAACAAGAGAAGAGCAAAGAAGGTTTAAACTTAAAATGAGATTTTGAGAATTTAGAACATAATAATCTTATATTTGAAAATTTTGGAAAATTCTTTTTAGTAAGGTAATTAATTCGGAGGTTGTAAATAAATAATTTGGCTTTTAAAAAATTTTAAGTTATTTCTAAAATACTTAATTTTGGGTTATGAGAGTTACGGGAATTTAGAATAAAGATTAAATTAAATTAGAAATTTGAGTAATTAATTAATTAGTTCATATTAATATGTGGTTATACTAATTGTGTAGATTAATTATTGGTTGAGCAAATGATTGACCTTGTGGTAATCCTTTTTATTGCTTTGGCGAGAGGTAACCACTTTCCACTTGTTATATGTGCTAATATGTTGTTTGTGAGTATTTTGCTATTTTTGAATAATATTTATTATTTGGAATTTGAGTAGATAAGTTATATCTTTTGAGCTATGAAAATTGTCTTGTGGGATTTTTGGAATTGTGATTGAGAAGTTTGGAAAAATATATGATTTATATCATATGGATTATATTGAGAAAAGATTGAGACATTTTTATTATATTGTGAATGATTGGTTGTTTTTTGAATTTTGGATTGAGTTCGATGCTACCACGTGGTAAGGCTGCCATTGGTGCACATTGGTTGGCTTCTTCCTTTGTCCCCCATAGTGAGGGATAGGCCTTTGTGGCTTCTTATTCGTCTCCCAGAGTGAGGGGTAGGCCTATATTCCCCATAGTGAGGGATAGACTTATGTGGCTTGTGTGCTAGCCCCCATAATGAGGGTTTGGATGATTGAAATTATATATCTATGTTTTCAAGAATTAATAATTATCCCACTTAACACCTCACGAGCACGCGTTAGTATGTATGATGAGTTGGAAAGTTGGTTACTGAGGCGTTTGTCTCACACCGTAGTTTTTACTATCTTCAAGTGATAGTTCAAGTGGTGACCCATTAGGAAAGGCTCTAGAGGCATAGTGTGCTGTTATAACTTGTATAGCCTCACGACTTTTGTTATATGTGCTGATTTGTTATATATTGCCACATATAGCTCATCTATTCTAATGTTGTAAACTATTATTTTTTTATTACTACTATATGATATGGGGGTCATTGAAAGGCCAGAGATATTTAAGTGTTTGCGTATTACGCTTTTTGATAGTGTTGACTTTGACTAATGGGCTCCATGACTTATATTAAAAGGATTCATTAGTTCATATGTTTGAAAGTATAGGTTTGGTTTGGGCTAATGGTTGAATGATATTTCTGGACTTTGGAAGTTCAAGGCCCAAATTAATTATCGATGTTGCTCGTAATATAAGTTTATTTCTTTTAACCATGATAGCGATTTTAAAATTTTAAGGTTTCTTCTTTTCTATCATGGTTAATTATTCAAATAAATTGTTAGATTTAACTTAAAAATGACTTTGAAAGAACGGTTGTCACAGTTACAAAGTCTGAATTTTCCAACCAAAGCAAGACAAAAAAAAAAAAACACAAATTAGAAAAAGTTTGGTTTATCGTGGAACCACGTTAAAAAGTTATTTTCCCATGCAAACCATGATTGCTAATCAAATAATCTTTTTTTTATATATTAAATATTTAACCATTGTTCTTAGGTCTAAGCCTTGATATGAAGCAACATTAATATTCTGTTAGGAGAGCTTTATTAGTCAAAGTCTATTGTATATGTTTCTTTAATTAATATTGGTTAATAAAGAAATCGAGTTCATTTTACTTAATCCAACCACCATTGCTTACCAGAGTTATATTGAATATAAAATATTTTTAAGGAAAAATACTATACATAAAAAAATATAAAATTATATGTGTGCAATATATTATTCATATAACGGGTGATTGAAATATGCATGCACAGTAAAACAGGGAGGCCCTTTAGGTTAATTGGATCTAAGAACAAAAAGGCTATCAATAAAACTAAACATGTAGGATTAACTGTTAATTATGTAAATTGGGGTTCTAAAACCAAAGTTAGTAAATTGCTTTATACAAAGCCGTTGTCTTGAGGTGGATTTTCTGAAATTTATGGAGGGTAGTTTTGTCATGTTATTATGTTAGGTTGGGTATTTATTTCTTTGGATGTAAATAGACATTTTACTTTCTAGTAACATTTTTCACTCTAATCTGAACGCAAATGGCTTCTTGAGATTATGACCATTGTGCATTTTATTCCTATAAAGGTTTTTAGCCTAAGATTCTGTCTCAGTAGTTTTGCACTCTATCCTTCGGATCTATAATTTTTTTTATCATTAATGTATTATTACTAATATTATTGTAATTAAGAAATTACTTAATTAATTGGGATTAAAATAGTTCATAAATATTATTTTTTTATAATGATAAGAATATATATGAGATTGAAGTACTTAAAAAAGTTAAGATACAAGAGTGACTGGAATTCAATCCAAAAAATTAACTAAGGCTATATATATTTCTTTCCATCTGCTTCATATGTTTTTCTCACCCGTGTTAGTAAATATACACAGAATAGATATCTAAATTGTGGCAAGTTATGCCTTATTTTTCAATTCATCACCAAATGCTTTCAACACGTCGAGCATGTAACCATCAATGTTGGATTCAGAGCTAAGATGACTCCGATCAATAATAAATTGATCAAATTGTTTATATGGTTCACTGTCTGTCAAGAAAGATTCAGATTTATCAGTAGGTCTTTCTGTCGAGGAAGCCATAACCGCACTGCTCGTATATGATCCTAATATAAGAAGAGAGGTGGAGTATTGAGAAAGGTGAAGAATTTGGTAAAGATAATGAGTTGATATAAGATGATAAAAATAATCTCAATTAGAAACTATTCAAATAAAATAAAATTTTTGTCCAAATATTAACATAAAGTATTTTATGATATTTTTAAATTTTAAATGATGATAAGAATATATATATATATATATATATATAAGATTCAAGTACTTAAAGAAGTTTAATCATATCATGAAAAATATTGGCTAAAAAAATTAATAGTAATAAAAAATTGACAAAGAAAAAAAGTTTCTTTTTGGAAAGAAAAAAATATATAAAGTCTACATATCCACTATAAAATATTATATAAGCCATACAAAAAAAAATAGAAAATAATTAGATTAAGTTACTTATATCTGTTATATCAAGTTTTTCAATCACATATGGTCATGTATTTTATTTTCCTAAATGAATTTATAATTAAATAATATTAAGTGCTAATATTTGAAAGATAGAACACAGATCCACGGTATGATGGAAGAAACTGATATAATGAATATAAAAAACTTGACCTAAATATTGTCCTAAAAAGCTTATAAATTGTAAACAATATAATCATAAAAATTATTATAATATTATAATAACAAGTAAAATAAATTTATAAAATAATATATCCGCCCGTTCCAAAAAAATTTCATGACGAGACTATTCGGCTCTAAAAATTGGGACTAGGACAGAACACAATTAAACATGATTTTTGTTGAATCCTTTACTCATCTTTGTCCTCCATCATCAAGCAGCATCTGGCTCACCTATTAAAGACTTTTTAGATTTTTTTTTTTTTTCAGATTACAAACCGCAAGCATGTATTTTTTTTTTTTTGGTCTTTACTATGTAACGCTTACATCGCATTTTAATCATTATTATATTGAAAAAAAACCCTTATCAACAATAGATTTTTCTAACCAAATAGGCCGCTCATCAAACAATACAAATAGAGATTTTTGGGACTCCCACTGCTCATCCTCCAGGCTTATATTCATCTTTTATTTTGGCCAACGGGATTATATTCTTCTTGTCCTTGGAGGAAAATAAAATTTAATGGGCATGCATGTTTGACCATATTTACTCGAAGGTTAAATGATGGTTGAAGCAAGGCTCGAGCTATCACCAGGAAGTAGAAGCCCATCGGGGAGGTGTTTGATTCCACTCCCCTCAACCAATTAGAATTAAGAAGAATGTTAGGAATAATTTTAATATCAAGCACTTCATTAAAATCGATTGATTTCAGTTGAATGATAGCATATTCAACTTACATATACTACTCCCAATCCTTAATATAAGACCTTGTTTGACTTTTATTTTGATAATAAATATAAGACCCCAATCAATTTTATCACTTATATTTATTTAATTTTTTCAAGATAATCATTTTAATAATAATAGTTCCAACTTGATTAGGATAGATATATTAGAAAAGACAATACCTATTATTACAAATAATTAATTTAACTTATTTATTTAATTATTCAAATTAATCGACTAAATTGACTAGTTCTTATATTTAGAATCAACATCTATAAAAAAGAGAAAACAGTCATGAATTTAATCCTTCTTTTAACTATACCCTCCAACATCATTGTAATTCCCACGACTCTTGTTCTTATAGAATAAAAGTGAAATCCTTTTAGATCCTACAAAATCTGTGCCAAATAAAATTATCCAACAGACTCATTCCCCTTCCTTTATCTCCAACGACCGGGGCATGACGTTTGAAAACTAAATATCATCACATTCAAGCTTTAGTCTTTGGTCTGATATACAGACTCTTCGTTGCTTTACACAAGGAAAGCGCTAGTAGCCTTTTTTTTGTTCCCAATTCACGTATTTGTATCAGGCAGTATTCTAAGTTATAATACATATTACAAATATTTTACAGTTTCAAAAATCTGAGTATGCAGAATCTAGTGCTACACTAACAATGACTGCCACACATCCTCTCGCACTGGAAATAATTTCTGGAAGAGAGACAAACGACTGTCCTGCACAAATTTGTGTCTCTTTTTCTCCCTCACCAAAGACTGTCCGGAACAAGAGAGGGTTCAACTCGAACGACAGGCTCTTCAAACAGAAACCGGTGTAGGAGTTGAAGGCGGCACCCGATTTTCAACTGGAATTTCAACAAATTCTGACAGAAGCGCCCGGAATTCGTCCCCGCTCATTGTCTCCTTCTCCAGAAGCACTTCCACAATCTTGTCAATGGCCTCCCTGTTGCTCCTTATGTGGCCAAGTGCAATTTCATATGCTTCATCTGATATCCTCTTGACCGCCATGTCAATGTCTACTGCGAGCTTTTCTGACATCGAGTTCCTGGCCATCATCCTCATGATGACATCAGCACTCTGAGCTGAAGCGTCCATAAGCGACCATGGGCCAATCTCAGACATTCCAAATGTCGTTACCATCTGCAAGAATGTGATTTTCCAAAGAAGCACATGCATCAAAGAATTGTCCAATAAGAGGTGGGAAAGTTGAAACTTCTTTCCTTCTTTTTTTACGTGAAAGATGAAAATAGTTACATGAGATGGGTGTTCGTTCCAATCAGAAAAAAAACAGCATCATTTGACTAGACAGTTAACACGAATCATTTCCACAGGTACTCAAGAAACATTTACCAATCAGATTTAGCTTACTCTAGTGCAATGCTCTCCTGTGGAAGGATTCAGTTTAAATCATGGCTGGAGCCAAACGAACAATTTTTCTTTTTACCGGAAAAAAAAAAGGGCACAACTTCCTTGTCACCAATCACTACTACAAGCTTATTCTTTCCAAACCAATTCCCATTGATGTCAATAAACAAGTACCTGTCTGGCCAAACCAGTGATTTGCTGCAAATCACCAGCTGCTCCTGTCGTAACCTCAGGTTCACCGAAAATAATTTCCTCTGCAGCTCTACCACCAAGTCCACCAACAATTCTTGCAAAAAGTTGTTGTTTGGAGATCAGAGTGGGGTCATCCGAAGGAATGAACCAAGTAAGACCCCGAGCTTGACCACGTGGAATTAGGGTTACCTTTTGTACAGCATCATGACCAGGAGTCAAAGTTCTGCATACAAGTAAAGACAAAATTGGATATAATATTAGAACATTATATAGAATTCTCAATTCCATTTAAAAGAGATTTCAAATATCAACCGTAATTTGCCCTTTTTTGCCTTTCCAGTTGACCTCACAAAAGCACAAAATGTAGCAGGCACACTTCCCTTCCAATGCAATTAGACACAGCAAAAAGTTGAAAATAAAATAAAACCAATGCCTAATTTTGCATACCCACAAATGGCATGCCCGACTTCATGATATGCCACTAAACTCTTGCTCTTCCCATCAGTCATCACTGTTCCTTCCATTCCAGCCACAATTCTATCTATGGAATCATCAATCTCTTTAGATGAAATTGCTGTCTTTCCACGACGTCCAGCCAATATAGCTGCTTCATTCAAGAGGTTTGCAAGATCTGCTCCACTAAAACCAGGTGTTCTCATTGCAATTACATCAAGAGAAACATCGGCATCGAACTTCTTATTGCCGGCATGAACCTTAAGGATCTCAGTCCTTCCCCGAACATCTGGAACATCTACAGTCACCTGCAAGAACGTTATGTTGATTAACTTGCCCATTCATAATTGCATAAATTACTTCCAGTCATTTACATACCTGTCTATCAAAACGGCCAGGTCTCAACAAAGCAGAGTCAAGAATGTCAGCCCTGTTAGTTGCTGCAATTACAATGATACCAGTATTTCCTTCAAACCCATCCATTTCAGTTAAAAGTTGGTTGAGGGTCTGTTCTCTTTCATCATTTCCCCCACCAATTCCAGTTCCTCTTTGTCGTCCAACAGCATCAATTTCATCAACAAATACAATGCAGGGCGCATTCTCTTTGGCCTTCTTGAACAAATCACGAACTCGAGAAGCACCAACACCAACAAACATCTCAACAAACTCAGAACCTGAGATTGAGAAAAATGGAACTCCAGCTTCACCAGCAATAGCCTTGGCTAATAGTGTCTTTCCAGTTCCAGGAGGGCCTACAAGAAGAACTCCTTTTGGAATACGAGCCCCAACAGCAGTGAACCTCTCTGGTTTCTTCAAAAATTCCACCACCTCCATAAAATCTTGCTTTGCTTCATCCACCCCAGCAACATCATCAAATGTCACTCCAGTATTGGGTTCCATTTGAAACTTAGCTTTAGATTGACCAAAAGCAAGAGGAAAGCCAGGCCCACCAGGACCACCCATCCCTCCAGATGATCGCCTTGATAGAAGGAACAGCCCTCCAATCAAGATCAGAGGGAAAGCTAGATTTCCAATCAGGTTAAACAACAGAGAACCTGAATCTTCTTGGGCATTATGAGCTGCAAAGTCAATGTTCTTTTCCCTAAATTTCTGGAGAAGTTCTTGGCTGAGTCCTGGAAGTTGAACCCTGACTCGCTGCACCCTATTACCCAACTCCGGAGAGACAGCCTCAACAATAGCTATGGTTCCATTCTCAAACAAATCCACCTTCTTAACTCTATCCTTGTCCAAATACTCCAAAAATCTAGAATAAGACATTGGAGAGGAGGAAACCCCTTGTTCATCAGCAAGTGCTTTCCTATTTCCCAATAATGCAGGTAAACCCACTCCTGCACCTCCAAGCAGTTTCAGAAAGCCTCTTCTCCTCTCATGCTGCTTTTGATCTGAGGATGCCTTTATGTAAAATGACTTTGATGCCCTATTTGATGACGGAAGTCTCCATGATGAAGTCAGATACCTTCGGTGGAAGTCCTTGCTAAAAGTTCTTTTATTATTCTGTGTGGATAAACTGTTTCCAACAACACAAACTGATGATGCTGACGCCATATTCAGTGCTGACAAAGTTGTAACATTGCATAGTTAATTGATCAGTAGGAAAATAAATATAGAACAATTAGCATTTATCACTGCAAAAGCGCAAAGTGGAATTTAATCTCATCTAACACCTAACCAACAAATGAAAATCAGTCTCCGTCAAAAGTCCCATCTATATTGTGCCGTTAAAAATTATGGATACACAGTTATCAAAAGAATGACAAAGAGAGCCAATGTGCAAAACATACACCAGAAGCCAGTTCAAAGAATATATATCAGCATACTGAAGAGTATAAGCAAGACAACATGTTAGAGACAATTAGTCACTCAATTTCGCTTTACAATTCATCAAAACACACTTCTTTCACTAAACTTAACCACCCAAGTCGAATATTGTACTCGTGTATGATGAATTCAACAAGAAAACGAAAAAGAACATAATTTTGCTGACGACGAAGACAAGAGTAAAGTTAATTGCCTGCATAGACTGAGAAAAAACAACGATAGATTAGTTTAAGATGTAAACTAGCTTACGCTCCGAATGAGCCCCGAATTACACACACACAATAGGACAAAAATAATAACCCCCAGTAACGCAGTTCTAAAACAGAGATTTACAAGTAACAAATATCAATAAATCAGCAGGCAAGATCAGCCTTTCTAGTCAATTTCGTAACAGAAGAGAAGCGTTTCTCCACTTGAAGGAAAGATGCAATTCTAAAATGGGTTTGATTGATCGTTGGACTTCAAGGACTGATAACTAATGAGAAGAAGTATGAACAGACCCACCAAAAATTCAAGCGGGAATAGAGAAGCACATACCTCGGGAGAGATTCTGGGAGAGATTGCAAGGGAACAAGAGAAGCTCTGGGCCTTGGGGCGCAGAGGGTGATGCAGATTACAGGAGAGACGTGTATGGGGTTATACACAAGAAGTGGATGTGGCTCTGGCAAGGTAGACGTGGCCTTTTGCTAATGCTGCCTTGTCCTTCGACGGTGTTTAGATTTTTCATTTTTGTTTGGGTTTCTCTTCTTCGCTTCTTGTTTCTTTCGGGCCACCGGTCGTATTTTAGATCTTTATCATGCCTTGATGGATTAACAGCATTCACAGATTATGTGCATATTCTTTTTTTTTTTTTTTGCCTGAAGATTATGTACATATTATATTTTAATTAAAAACATTCTTTTTCCTAAAACGAATTACTTTTTTATGTCTTACATCTTTAAACTAATTTTGGTCAAAAAATATTTATAAATCAGGTTATATTCTGTAGAATAATTTGACGAGCCCTTCCAATAATATTTGACAAAATATATCATGTTTGACAAGTCTTGCTTGAAAGAACATAGGACAAACAAGGATTAATACATTTTTAATTCCTCAAGTTTGTATAATTTTAGCTTTAGTCTCTTGAATTGTAAATCACAGATTTTTGCCCCTGACAAAATGATCTAAGACTTTATTAAATTATAAAAATCAATATTTTAAACAAAAAGAAATTTGAATGATCAAAATCAGAATGAAAACAAGCTTAAGAAACCAAAAAAATTATATCAACCGATTGTAAAAATTTTAAGATGTGATTAAAAAACGATCACTTTGGGTCGCAGTATTTTTGTCCTAAAGTAATTGTTTATTTCTTTTATGTGATAAAAGAATTACCCTTGCTATCTCTTAGAAGTATTTTTTACCCAAAAAAAAAAAAGAGTTCTTTTTCATTAAATAATATTAATTCTGGCAATGGTTGGCAAAAAACAATTCTGATAATTAATATTTCTACCAACTATCTTCATAAAAGCAACATATTAACAGACTTTGTTGGCCAAAAAAACAAAATAACAGACTTTAACCATCCTCCAACTGATACTAACTGTAGGCTTCCCAGCAAAATGGAGAAAGACAGGGAAAAAAGAAAAGAAAAGGGAGGGGGGGGGGGGAATCAGAGAAGCTAGGCAGCAATTATGGCTTTACATTGGCTTATTCCTATTGTGTCTCTAGTAAAACTACAAATTGCATTTTAATTAACAATATAAATACAAGAAAGACAACTTTAAAAGAAATCTAGGCATATCTGGAGAAAATTTTGCAGGCTAACATTCACTCATCAGAGTAGCTGTCATCACTATCTTGCTCATATATCTGGTATTCTTCATCACTAACATTTTCTTCTGGTCTGTCAGCATCATATCTGCTAGAAGGAAAGCTATCAAAAAGCTCCTGTAGATGGGTTCTTGAAATGTTCTCTGCATTCATATCTGAATCATGTATAGGAACACAATAGCACATATGGATCCAATGATACATGAATTGCCGGGCTTGTAACCCAACTTACAGTTACACCAAGCTGGCCCTCCCTTAGGTTGTGAGTTCAAACCCTCGGTACAAAGTTGGTTTAATGGGTGTTTGAGTTTTGGGGAAAAAATGATACATGAATGATATTTGAGCAATTCTAACAATAAACTATAAAAGATATTGATGTTACATAAACCTCGACACAATATTCATCAAGAAAACAAATTGAAACACAATTATTCAGATGCATGGGGTGATGTCTACCCAGACAATATAGAGACCGGTTGTCAGTCCATTGTTTTCGTTAACAACTCGAATTTGTGAAATAACACATCAGATGCAAGGAGGGGATGTCAATATCAATATAACACGTTAAAACAATGGCAAATTATACAATTTGAAGGGGGGGGGGGACAATGTGACTCATTCATAAAACTTCAGGCAATAGCTGAAGATAGCTAGTAATAAGACTGGATTCATAGTATTCAAGACACGTACACAGTATATTGATTCATGGACTAAAAGGCAGGTTTTAATGTATTGAGAAAAAGTTATACGCTTCAAGTAGATATGGATACAAGAATGTGATGGCAAAGGCATTTCACCATCTTCAGCCTACACAAGAATCAAACAGCAAAAATCACAAATTAGTCTGGACAAAAGCCAGTTGGAACACGATTGAATACAAAATGAAGTTAGACGAGAAAGATCATACCAAATCAAGTTCGTCGTACGGATCCCATTCCTCATCACTGTTGTTAGCCTCAGCGGCATCTTCCTCGTTATCTTCAGCATCAATCGCTTCTTCATTCTCTTGCAGACCTGATATTCCGGATACAAAATTTTCATTAATATCAGTAAATATTATTTTGCAAAGTCTCAATTTGATTGAGTTCATAATTACAATATAAATGAAATTAATTTTTACATTACAACTAAATAACCATGACATTACTAATTAATTAATTCAAAGAACAGGAAAAAACTTGAGAGAAACCTCTAGAGGTTTTTCTCCTTTTGATTATAATAATGGGAAGGGAAAAAAAGGGAAATTCGGTGTGTTATTTGAAATATAGCATAAAAGGAGAAAATAACAAGGACTCCCCCAAGAAAACAAAAGAAGGAGAAATAAGACAAAGGGCAATAAAAATACCAAAAGGATCAAAAGCGCAATAAATACCATACTCCTTTGCATACCCAAAGGAGAAGCCAGTTAGATAAATTGAGAAGAACATGAAATGCAAATTTTATGATAAAGGGACTTGAAAGATAAAAGTGATAGGAGGCGAGAAAAGCAACTTAAAATTTGACATTTCAGCACCTTTTGGTTTTGATAAAATAAGAGGATTTATTGAAATGAGAAGAGAGTAAGAACATAGGAATACAAGAAATCATCTGAAAAAGAACAGGTACAGTCACAGAAGTCAGAACAGAACTACAAAAGAAAAGTCCCAATTAAGAAGACCATGGGCAGAGCACCAAAGAGGAGCCATGAATACAATTTTATCTCATAATATATTCAAAGGAAAAGAAAAATCCTTGAAAATGCGGGCATTTCTCTCCAACCAAATAAAGTACATAATCACACAAACTACACATTGCAACAGAATTTTGTCTTTCTTTCTGTTACCAAACCCTTAAAACCAATTTGGAGCAACAGATCTGTTGGGGCACTAAAAACTCCATAAAAATACCAAAGAGCAGCTTTTTATCTTGTGAAACTTGAAGCTAACAGATTTTCCATGGCCCTTATAAAAGTACTGATACATAGCTATGTGGCACTAATTTATTTTAGTCAGATTTGACAGCCTCCACAACACTAAAACAAAATGTAAATAAAGAAACTAGGAAGATCGTAATATGAACCTGAGTTAGCTTGCCGGCTGTCCTCTCCGTCAAGCTTTATGGTTTCCCTACAGCAGTCCCTCTTTAACTTTTCAAACTTTGAAGTGGCAGCTCTGAGTAAGCTTTCTGCACCAGGTTTTGGAAATACTGATAGAAACCTCATCATAAGACGTTGTCTAAAACAATTGATTATGTTGTGTGAAAACCACCCTGTAGCAAACTGTAAAAATTAGAATGTTAAAAGCAAATATGATAGTTTGCCAAATTTCTTGTGATAACTTTACAGAGAAAAAAAAATTCAAATAGTTTGTGCAATTTTTAATAGTCGACGTAATGTAAGGAAACTCAACATACATGCATAATTTCAGAACAAAACAAGAGTATACAAAATCAGGAACCTGCTTCATTTTTCTTAATACATTGCTCCATAAACATTTAAATCTAAGATTTACTGCAAATTAGCAAAACTTTTTGCTACTAGACCACAACTAAAGGTTACTCAGATGCTTCTTTGTTGTTCAAGCAAAAAGTAAGCAATAAGGAACTTTTTATGGCCCCATACATAATCAGAGCGCTCTTCCTTCAAAGCTAATTTGATGCTTTATGACTAATAGAACCAACAGCTACTAAGGGAGACATGAGTATAACTAGAACTTTTATCTGTAAGAATTATTTGTTTGAAATCTGAACTGGATCATCATTTTCTCAAGGTTACGCAGAAGAGGCACATACACTAAAAGAAAGGAACAGTGTCCGAATCTGGCATATGTTAATTATTAGACACGACATGAAACTTCATACTACATATGGGCACTTCAGATTTTGTTGTGTCAACAGCATACCTTGTGTTCATTCAATATCCATGATTATAAAGCTTCGTAGTAACAATATTTATGTAGCTATATTTTGGAATGTCAATGGTTAATCACGTTGCTAGGGTGCTTAATACTATTGCATGGAAATTTATTTGTTGTTCCTGGAATAAAACTTGAGACCACTTTTTCCAATCCTTCCATCTTTCAAAATGATCCCCTATTTCCAACCCGTACACACAACCAATCAAGATTCTGAACGTAACAAAAACAGATCTGAAATCAGTCAAAATGCCATGCAACAGAAAAATTTGAAAGTTTACTCAAGGGAGGAGAAAATGTCTGGCGACTGGTCAACAACATCCGGCTGAAGAACTTTGCAGACACATTCAATTCCAGATTTTCTCTTATTTCAAGTACTGGCGTTGGAAATGATTTGCATATTCCCATCACATTATGAAAGGGAGTAAAGATCTTGCACACAGTATCCCATCAGTCAATATTTCATAGATAGGTTATCCCTTAACTTTCAAGCATTTGTTACTAGTGCTTCTAGTGAAAATTACCAATGGATGAGAAAAATATGAAACTATATAATTGCTTAGCATCTCTGCCTCTCAAATAACTGTATTATTGTGTAGACGTGTGCCTTTGAAAAAAATGTGAAAATGTTATGTGAAAAATCGTAATTAATAACTTACAGTACAAGTTGCCTGGAGGGGAGGCTTCTTTATTTCCAGCTGGATGTAATCATCAACAAGCTCAAATAACTGTAATGACGTTTGGATCTTGCAAGGGAAAACACGAAAAGCACATATGTCCTCCCATCTGTGCTTCTTTCTGCATAGAAAAGTAACATATAAGAGAGCAATAGAAGCTAAAAAATTGTTTGAACAACAAACAAGCATCAGATTCATTAACATCATGTCAAATGCAGACGCTCGAAGTCAAACCTTCATTGGTAAAGCCAAAGATGAAATGAAGAAAAGAACTTACTTGTTGGCCAATTGAGAATCACAGTAACTTCTTAAAGGTATTGGTACTCGATAATCGATTCTTTGATAACTGCCAAAACAAAGGTTTGAACATTAATAAGAGAGTCAAGGTCCAATATTTTCTTAAAGCAAATAATTCTTCAGTATATAGTTAAAAATGCTCCTTAAGGAACTTCAAGTCCCTAATTAGGGCATCCATTAAGTTATTACGTAGTAACCAAGCAGCAATAAGCATTTTAAAGAGCCTATACCATTATGACAAAACCAAGTATGCTGAAGTTGATCCGCACTGTGTCACAAACATTTGTCATTTTAGGCTCATAAACAGAGTTAAATTATTGTATAGAATTTGCAAGGGAGAGAGAAGCACGAACTCTTCAAAGTTTTGGTCTTTAAATGAGGACCAAAGTGGTATGGGATGCCTATGTGGCATATTAAGTAAACAGGCTGTTCAATGAAATATTCAAGCAAGCAGACTCCTTCACCTCAGTATATATATCTTTCAGGGACCGATCCCCCCCCCCCAAAAAAAAAAACCCCGCGAGCCTATAATGATATAAGTTGTTTGGAGTGTCTAGTTGTGAGAAACAACTTCAAGCTGAGAGCTTATGATATTAGAAGGCCCATGAATAATTTTACTAATATTTTTAACATGCTTCAGCTAGTCTATGAACATTGAACAAAACAACTTCTATAATTCTTAACTAATAAAGATTCAAAGTCTTTTTTGTTACTTATGAAGGTATGAATATACATGATATCTTAGTATTCTAAAAAGTCGTATCACAAAACTAAACAATAAATTAGAAATCATTAAACACTGAAATTAAACAAGAGTGCAAGAGCGGCCAAAGTTTAAGAGATTAATCAAGAGTAGAACTTAACATCCGAGAATCAGGATCTTTCCGAGGATCATATCCTTTCTTGATCCAAAACCTAAGAAATGGTCCACTGGAAAAGTAGTATGCAATTCTAGAAAGAAGCCTGCAGTAAGAGAGCATAGAAGGTTTCTGAATGATTATCAGGAATTCAACTATCTCAATTTAAAAAGGTGGTTCACAGAACTTAAGTTAAAAACCTTCTAAGCATCTCATTTGAGAAATTTAAGCCTTTGTCAAGTAAGCATTCTTTGATAGAATCTTTTGGCCAAATAGGCCGCTCATCAAAGAGCCTATTCATAGCCTTCTGTGACTCCCACTGATCTGAGCCTTGGGGCACATATTCTTCCCAATTCACTATCTTTGGAATCTGTAAGAAAGTTAAGTATAACCCAAAAGGCACAAGTGCAACATTCATTGCAATATATCTAAACAAATTTTTATTTACTTTCATTTTAAGACATGCAAGAAGTACCAAATACACTGCAAACCTTTTAAATGCACTCCACTATTTTCAAATTGAAAGAATTATCAATGAAAAGAAGGGTTTAACGAAAACAAAAAATCATCTTACACTCTCAATGGAATAAACATAATCAGCAAGACGTGATATTTCATTATACTGATTTGGGGAAAATAAATTATTCTAGTAATAGCGTTTTGGGACCAAAACACTTTGTTTTTTTAATTTCCAATCTAGTAGAAAACTCGTCTTCTTTGTTGGCGTGAAATAAATTTTCAGTGATATATTCAATTACAAGTTAAGACATTCCACAAGTACCACTAATTACTAATCTCAGTGGAAGCAGCTTCTAGAGAAACTTTCAGGTATAAGTTATACAAATGATAGAGAGAGAGAGAGAGAGAGAGAGAGAGAGATACAAAAGAAGAGGAGAGTACAGAAATTTCTTTTTTTTTGGGAGTGGGGGTGTTTGAGTGAGAACAAGAACAAAATCACAATGGTGGTTTTTAGCAAAAACAAATTCAACACTTTCTTCTTTTGAAAGCCCCCAGGAAGCCTGAGTTGGGAAAACCAGACGGGGATAGAAATCTGAGTTAGGAAAACCAGGGACAGGAAACTATACAGAAATTGGTTAACTTTCTTACCTTGAAGTTTGGTCAGCCAACATAATTTTGAAAAAAATTAGATGAGCCCATCTCACCTCTATTCTAAAATTGATCCCTTTCGCTTGATAAAATAATCCGTGCAACCTCAATATGTCCTAAACTAACAGTCTTTACCAGTTAAAAAAACACCCAAATAATTAACTAAAGAGCCCAACTAAACAATAAAACAGTAACTTCAACCACATAATTCAAGTAAAGAGTACCTGTCACTAACAGTTGCTTACCCTTAGACAATAAAAACAGTCATTATATAAAGGCATTAAATTTTAAGCTTCAATAATTCACAAAATGATTCTTCACTAATTGTGATAAGGATATCTTTAATGTCAAAATCAAGTGCAAGAACTGACTCTATGTCCATCTGCATAAAAAGGACAAGTATAAGTTTTCTTCATTAAAAAAAAAAAAAAAAAAAGATCATGTACTTATAAAAGCCCAACTGCAAATATCAACAAAGTCGTCCTTTCACAATATTGTACATGCACTTATATTAAGTGCCAATGCAAACATGTATAATATTTTGATTGGAACAATTTCTTTTAATCAGATTTTGAAGTCATGGGCAGGGAAAAAAAAGTCAACTGTGCAACATTGTGCGGTCTTTGTTGATATTTAGTCATTATGATGTGCCCATAAACAAACAAAATCAACAAGAAAATAAACCAGTATTTCCAACTGACTGGTTCATTCTAATGTAACAAATGTTTCACAGCCTATGTCCCATTATGAAATTAATTCAAGAAGTGTAATACCTCAAATTCAAGTTGTGGATTAACCTCTTGTCTCTTTTTTGAACCTGCCGACAATGATGGTGGTCTCAAACTGAAATGTAGAAAATATGAGTTCAAAATAATGAAAAATACTTAAATTAAGAATATATAGGATTCGAACTCAATATTTCAATATATTTTGTTTTATTAAAATTATGTTTCATTTTACTATGTTAACTTTATCAAGGATTACAAGCTAGTCAGGATTTGCATGTTATCTAGCATTCTAGAACGCTATCTTTTGGGCTCTATGTAAAGTGCTTATATAAATCAGTTTTCTGATTGATTATCATTAAAAATTTCTTAGTTCTCTATCCTTCCGGCCCTTCTTTTGCTTAACTGGCAACTAGTCCCTCATAACTCCCCGTCCAGGAAAATGAGAGGTATGCCCTGATAGCACATTGCGTCCACTTAGAAAATAAGTAAAAGTCTTCAATTGTAATAGATGATATCTAACCAGATATTTCAAGTCAGGAAGTATGCAATCGACAAAACAGGAAAGGCTACAGGAACGTACACTACATTGTCTGGCACATCTTTTGGGGAAAAAATTGGGGGCACTATAAGCATAATATCCTCGTGATCCACACCCATGAGACCACCCTTTTCTGTGACAGCACACAACCAAATACATAACCACTATAATGGCAAGTAACTATTACATGCATCTCAGAAACATATGCAAACACAGAAACACACAGTACTCACCAAAGTGAGGCTCCTCAAGTTCTGACCAGTTTCTCTTCCTCCTCTGAGCAATATTGGCATGAACTGGAATAACATGTTGGTAGTCTACCATTCCTTCATAATTTTAAAGCACAAAACAAAAACATGTCAACTTACCTTTGAAGTTGCATAAATTTAACGAAACCTACCAGACCTTAGCATGAGATCACCTAAAACAAGCCCAATCTAAGCTTCTAACCATTAAAGCAATAAGCTTCAGGAACATGAGCAACAACATCAGCAATGAGATTTGCCTCTCCATCTGCACGTATGTGGTTATCAGCTTCTTCAGTGACAGCCGTCGTATCCGTTTTTGATTGAGTTGTTTGCACCTCATTTTGCATCTGATTATTTGATAGGCTGTCAGAATCTTTAGCATCATGACCATCATGTGGTTTTCCCCTAGATATTTTGAGAAGAAAATTCTTGCAAGGACGAAGCTCCCCAAAAGCAGGATGTGAATATGGATCTTCAGGGCGGAAATGGAGCTCCAATTTCTCAGATTGTGAACTGCGTGCCTGCAGAACATCAACCAGACCATAACATAAGTGAAAATGCATTGAAACTAAATCCCGTTGACAAATCATGAACAAGGGCCTATATGTTTCATCTTTTCTATGGAAAAAAAAATCACTTTTTTTGTTCAAAATTAAGTACTTTTAAGAAATTTCAGAATGTTTGTCTATACTTTCACAAACAAACAAAATCTAGAAAAAAACCATATTTCTAATCCTTGTAAAGAAGTTATTTTGAATAGCTTCTGACTATTTTAAAAAGAACTTTCAAATAAAAACTGCTTTTTTGTAATTATAACCAAATAAAAAATAATCTCTTTTTATAAAATCTCTAAACAACAAATCAATTTTTTAAACAATTTGACAGTCCCTTAACTTTTAAGATTAAACAAACGGGTCATAAAAGTTAGTATTGTGAATAAACAAATAAAAGAGCAGCATCTGAACTGGCATAAATAAAATTTTCTGGTACCTTGAGGATGCCTTGAATTCCACCAAGAGTTTCTACAGCACGAGTCATGGATGATGGATAACCAGGATAATGGACAAGAAATCCACGGGGGCTAGGTAGAAACCCTGAGATTGTGCCATCTTTAATCACTCCCATTAAATATACAACGAAATTTCCACTCTGCCAAAAAGATTTCACATGTTTTATTAGGTTGACCTTTTTAACCATCAAAAACAAGGTATCATGCTTAAACTACATTGGAGTATTGGACATAGATGGTTAATTACTAAACTACCCACAAAAGGAGGGGCTGGGATGAAAGGAACATTGAAATGGAAAATTTAAGACAAATATAACCATGCTGCTCCGATTTACTTTGAGCTGTGCTGCACAAAGCTAGACGTACATACTATTTAGGGACTAGAAATAAAGTATCAGCATTCTTCATTCCACAAATCAATTGACTACACAAGAAAAGCTAAGTTGTCAAGCCCCTAATGCAGGTAATAAGATTCAGATCTCAGAGCAGATTATTATACTAATCTCATTGCATCCAGCCTGTTTAAAAGAAGAAATTTCATCAGAAAAAAAGAACAAGAATTACAGAGAGGAGGAGCTTAAATATCCTTCTAAAGAAAACCGTGAAGAGTGAACCTAAGAGGCTCAAGTCAAAAGTGAAAAATACCTACATCTCTCAGAAGCAGAAGATCAAAGACGGCCCATAACCACAACCCTAGCGCATAACATAAGATCAAACTCTTTTCTGGGAATGTCTCCGTGTGTACAACTACGTTTGAAGCATGATAATTGCTATCATATGTCAACTTACTCTACTTCCATGTGATGTATGCCAAAGCAATATTACATGTAACTTTGGTTATAAAAACTTCTCAAGCACAGAACTTGGGACTGGCATTCATACACATTAACAAAATCAAAATTTTGCAAAATTTGACACCCGCAAGCACACAATGAACTTCTATCTTTGTGCACACATCCGAAGGACTAGAGAACAAAAGCTATTACGCGCTATTGCGATATCTAACATGGAATGGGGTGCTCATAGGAATACATAGCATCAGTACAAAGAGAAGATAGAGATGGAGAGGTCAAGAAATTAACAGTATACCAAACAAAATTGCGAAAGCTTGCGGCAAGAAAAGGGAGAGAAAGAAAGGGTTAGAGACAAACCTGATGGCGTCGTCCAGACGTCAAACAGACTCAAAACTGATCCGCTAGAGTGGCGTGGTGGAACAACGCCGATGATTTGTAGCCGCCGGTGACCAGTGTTTGCCGGTGGTGACTCTGAGAGTGAAATAATAACGATAATAAAATGATATTATAAGTATTCACGGCAAAAAAAAATAAACGGGAAAATTGCAATTAAGTCTCATTCAAGAAAATTAAATACAAAAAATTTCTTAAAATTATGAAATTATTCTGAAGTCTCAATAGACTTTTTTACAATAAATTTTATATTTAATTACCAAATTATTCTTCTTCTTTTTTAAAATTTGTATTAACAATTGAAAGAGTAATGGTTAACAACCTAGGATGCAAGGACTGACAACTATTGTTGCTGTTTTGACAACTTAAGGTGTGATATGCTGAGAAAATGTGTTGTCAAAACAGCAGCGATAGTTGTCAGTCCTTACACCCTAGGTTGTCAATCACTGCTCTTTCAGTCATCAATACAAACTTAAGAAGAAAAAAAAAGTAATTTAGTAATTAAACAAATAAAATTTATTGCAAAAAAGTCCTTTGAGACTTCAAAATAATCTTATAATTTTAAGGGACTTTTTTGCATTGAATATTCTTAGGTGGGAGCTAATTATAATTCTCCCAAAAAAAAGATATTATAAGAGGAAGAAGAAGAAGCTTTTTTTTATTTTTATCAAGAACTGATGAGAATTGAGATAATACCCAGCCAAAAAAAAAACTAATGAGATGATAATCTTCGCAACTAAAGTGCAATCTTCATGGGTCGCCGTATCTTGCTGCACATCAATTGGATAATCAGTTTTTTTTTTTGTTAAGTTAAAAAAGAAAGAAAAACAAATAACAGGATAGTAAACTTTACAAAATATTAAAAATGAAACAATAATATCATCCATTTAAATTCTCGAAAATAAATAAACATTTTTAGCCGGTTGTTTTGCATATAAAAACTAATGTCATTGGAAAGATTGAGATCGAAATTATGGATTAAAAATTTATATAACACTGTCTCTTTTTTTAAATGTAAGAATTAGATAACATATTTGCTTTATAATAAAGAATATCCTTCACTTTTAAAGTAACTTATATGATTTCCACTCCTTAATATAAGAATTAATTAACTAATTTATGTAGATTAAAAAAATTAGTTAAGTTAGTTATTTGTAATAAATAGGTGTTATTTTTCTTAAAATATCCTTACTAGTCAAATATATTAGTTAGAACCACCATTATTAAAAGGACTACATTGAAAAAAAAAAGAATAAATATGAATGATAAAGTATATTAATATCTTATATTTAAAATTAAAATAAAAATCAAACAAACTCTTATACTACGAATCGTAAGTACTATAAGAGACCACTCTTTACTTCTCACAAATTAATTGTGTAATTTTCATATTAAAAAATAAAACCATTATGTGTTTAGTTTCACTTAAAAAGTTACTAAAACAAATTCATTCAAAAAATTACTAAAACAATAGATTCGACCGAAAACAATTTTTTTTTAAAAAAAAAAATAGAGGCAAGATGACATTAAGTGAAAAAATAAAAGTTCAAACTCTAATAGTAGAAGAAGTGCAAAAACTAGAATTAAAATGTAGAAGTTGAAATTAGATATTCAAACGAAGACAGTAACCTCTGACCCAATAAAATGCCAGTCTCAAATATAAAGTAGTGAAAAGTTGAGGCAGTGAGATTTTCATGGTTATCATGAGAGTTTGAAAGGCCTTGCCATGAAATAATATAACAACTAATTAATTGACCTAACTCTTCTTTTTGTTCTTTCATAGAGTGATATTCCAATCACCACTTGAGGTTGTATTTTGAGATTGATGAAGAGTGTTTGCTTTCATCAATGGCCTAGAAACGAAAGTAGTTGAAAAGGCCATTTGAAAGTAGTTAATTTTACCTTAAAGCTCTTTGATAACTTTCTCAGATCCTTTGTGGTGCCCATGCAACTAGGTTTGGCACCTGTCTACAACCTTTTTAATGTGTTCGGACCTTATATTGCATGCTCCCAATTATTGGCCTCCTACTGCTTGGAACAAAGATTTGCTTTTCACTCCTTATTCACCCAAAATTTCTAATACCATACTCAAAATTCCGCTTTCTTTCTTGAATGCTGGAGACCAATTGTACTGGGCTGGAAATTCATGGGATGCCACGTGTTAAACCAGGCTTCAAAAAACCCTTTCATGCTTCTCTTGGAATATGGGGACAACCAAATTCTTTCTGAAAATTTTTATAGCCCATAACCCTGCCTCCCAGGTATCTTTTATTCGTTTGAAAATGTGAAACCAAACACTGAAAAAGAAAAACACATTTTGTGCAGATGTTTGTCATTTTGTACTGTTTATACATTATTTTATTATGGGCAATTTTTAGTATTAGAAAAATAATTATAGAAAGAAAATAAAAGTGCATTGACATTAAGACGATGTACTTTTTTTTCCTCTCTTCCTGAAACCCAGATTGCCATGTCAAAACTAACTTTTTAATCCAAAAAAATAATTCAGGTTTAAAATGATACTATTTAGCATGAACAACCTGACTTTTTCTCAAAAATTATTTTAAAACTGGAACAATTTTTTCCTATGCTTTCACCTTTTTCTTCAAATTTAAACTTTCTAAAACTATTTTTTTTTAATATATCATTCAAATAGATAAATGTAAAACTGACTTTTTTATTAACTAAAGTATACATTTAGTCGTTTAATTTTATACAATATTTTAATTCAGTTCCTTATCCTTAAAGAGTATATATGTAATCTTTTAATTCTAAAATCATTAGGGTTAAATGATGATTTTTTGTAACAATTATAATTTTTTAAAAAAATTAAAACTTAATATGTTAGTATTTAAGAATATTTTATCAACCTTTAAAATTGAAACAACATTCATTTTTTTTAACATTTTTAGGATTAAATGACTAAAATTATACCATTTAAAGTTAAAGGACCATATTAAAATCATATATAAAGTCAAATAGACTAAATATATACTTTGACCCTTTTTTATTTTATCCAAATATAAATATCATTTTTACAAATGTTAATCCATATATTAGCGTTGGTTTCTCAGGTTGTGAGCGCATTTGTTTTTGTTATTCTTTCTTTTTCTTTTTATATTTTTGGGCTTATAATATGTGCCTCTTAAAACTCATTGTTTTTTTTGGGTTAAAGTGTATCTAGTAACTCAAAGTATTTTTTCATATGTATTCAGTATCCTAAAGTATTTTCTGGTATACTCAACACCCTCAAGTACCTTTGTGAGTGTGTCTAGTGTAACACCTTATCCAGAAACTTGCCAAACTTAACACAAATAAAAAATGCCAACATCATTACCATAATAATTAAACAAAGCGGGTTATAAAAGTTGTTCCAGATTTTCTTTCTCTTTGTCACATAACCATGATATAAAAAATAAGACAATCAATCAGTAGTACAACATATCATAATTATAAAAAAAATTCCCACTTACCTATTGTGCATAACCATGTTAGGAAGGATTATACCCCTAACATGGTTATAAAATACGTTCCATATACTTGATTGACACAATTTGTAACAAATAATATAACAACTAAATTTAACTTATTGAAATCCTCAAAAATGTTCAATCATGGATTAATAACCCTCAAGACTCTCAACAAGAAATTTATAATTAAAGACATGTAAATAGTTCAATCATAGAGATTACAAAAAGATATGCATAATGATGTCCTAAGTGACAAATAATTAATGACTAAATATAACCAGAGTTTAGGGTGTGATCACTAATGAAGGTGACCTCATGCCTCTGGTTCCTTCCTTACTGCGACTCCTCTACTACTTTTACCTGAAAATAGTAGATGTAACAGAGTGAGACTATTCAGTAATGAAAACTCCTACCCACTTCACTTACCAACACCCCTTAAGAAACGTTAAGTGGGACTAACATGTAAAATAATAATTAAACACGATACTATCACATTATAGACACCAGATATCATAAACGCATAAGCTAAAGGAAAATATCAACATAGGTACATGCCTTACTCATCATTCATTATTTATTACTAATCATTCAATCATCGTCTTATATCCTCCTTGTCCCTATCGACTTAAACCCATTGGTCAAGTCCTAATCATATGACTGGTGACTCACGAGTTTCCCACACGTGTAATACATATCAGCCAAAATCATAAAGTACACATGGGCCATAGGTTGCTCCAAAAAAGAAGGATGTTGTCCCAATGGATTTCTTGCCTATCATCCTAGCAGTGATACTGCTCTTAGGGGATACTACCCCGAGATACTCTGGAGTATCATAAATAAAGAGATGCTACCCTCTCTAAAAGACCAATCATAGTGCGTACTATGAAAGCAAATCACGTGGTAATATATATATATATATATATATATATCAATCTCCATCATCACACCTTCCACGAGTGTTAAACCAATTAATCATAACGATGGCATTTCTCGATTCTCATTAGGTATCTCAAGAACGTGTATCATATTATATTGAAAACATGCCTCAACCATATCAGATAATTAATATCATACTATTTAATAATATTTTTAGGTAATCAAGGCATAAACATATCATTCTAGAAATTCATGCTAACATACAAAACACAGTCAAATAAAATAATAACATGGATACTTCACTGCAATGAATAAATAACATTTCGCCATGACAACTACATGGTACGCCACAATTCTAGAATTTCATCCATTACTCATCAAGCTTCTATCCAATCCCAAAGTTGTAGCAATTAATTCTTTTTTCACAAACCAACGACACTAAGCAAGTTCCAAATTTTTAAAAATTTTTCCATAATTTCAAAATAGTTTTCCCATTCTATATTATTCAAATTCTATCCTAAAAGGTTTGGTTTAATTAACAACTCCCCATAAAGAAACCAGTAGAAGAAACAAGAAAGAATTCATATTACCTTGTATCCAATAAGTGCTTACGAGTCAAAAATCAAAACCCTGAATTTGGGGTCATCAAATCAAATTTCAAATCTGCAAATGGAAACTATACGTTACTACAATATCTTATAGGTAAGCTATATGTTAAATTTCAACTTACAACTCCTTCTTTAAGGTTTATGAATTGTTACTCAGAATTCTAGCTTGTACAAATTTTTTATGATTTGGAGTAAAAACAATGATATCAAGATTTAGATTCAATTCATAAATTTCTTTAACTTATATTATCTTTAAATTACTACGATATATCATTAAAATTGTAAATTATAATTGATTTGTAACCTAAGTAGAAAACTCTTATTTAATAACCTATGTTCTGTTTTTGAAGAACTTAGAGAAACAAATTTAATACAAGTTAAATTATTCTTACTATAGTGGTTTAATTATTAATCTAACTGTTGAGATTAATGTATTAGATGTCTTGAGTCTATTCTCCAACAGTGAACAAATTTAAAAACAATAATTTACCAAAAGAATGGTGGCATGCTCTCCTCATTACTCATTTGTGAGCTCCTTGTATCTTTTAATTTACTATTAAAGATTCTATCTATAAAATCTGAAAAAAGAGTTCAATACATACCTAATTACTCATATCTCGGAGATCATATCAATAATCCAACCGTTAAAATCGATGAGTTAGATACCTCGTCCCAAACCAGTAGACCAAATTTCTACCCGATCCTACAATTTACAAATTCGCACACGGCACTTTACTACCACCGATATATAGGCTCATAGAACCCTATTTTCTATCATTTAGTCGATGTGGGACTTCTCAACCTTATTATTTTATTCATTTTATTCATATATATATATATATATAGTTACGCACACATACATATAGTCATAATTATTTTAATTACTTATATATATTTAACTTCTGTTAAACCAATGTTAATAAATATTTACTTAAGTTATAAGGAAAAAAAATTCCAATGTTACATCCAACACCTTGAATTATTTTTTTATGCATCCGATACCCTAAAATATTTTTTTAAGTACATTTAGTACTTTAAAATATTTTTTTAATACATCCAGTACTAAGGCAAAAAAAAAAATACTTCATGATATTAGATGTACTCCAAGATACTAATATACATCATAACTTTTTTTTTCCCCTCTCGATGAATTGTTTTGATTTCCTTATGAGTTAAGTGTCATTCAGAGAGGAATTCTTATTTTACCTTTATTTTTTACATCAAGATGTATCATTTGTGAATAAGTACAATCGATTATCAATTGCCATATTGATTACCCACTACCTTGAGCTTATATGACTTGCTTTCTTTTTAAAAAAAAAAAAAATCATAACAAACTACAAACATTCTCACTTTGCCAATTAAAATATAAAATATATAATTCTCATAAATACATTTCATATGGAGCAGTAGCACATTCACGAAGTTAAAAAGGAAATTCCATCTTAACAAGTTGTGTTGAATGCTGCTTAATATAATGCAAATCAAAATAATAAAGGAGTACGCCGATTTGGCATGAGAGAGTAAAACGAAAGCAGAACTTTTTGGAAAGTAGAGTATTTATTTACTTTTATTTGATTTTAAAAATAATCTGGAACTGGGAGGTCCTAGTCAAGCATAGTTTTAGAAAGAACCTTGCTTTAACGGATCAATTAGTGAAAACTTCTCATAGGTTAAATGAAAATTCTTGTATCTTTGATCAATCTCCACCTATACTCCATGGGGTGGATCTTGATCAAAATGAGTAACTTTGTACTTGTTGTTTGTTACTAGTAATGAGATTCAGTTTTTATTCAAAAAAATAATTTGGAACTTCAGAAGTGACTTCCCAAATGCAACATTAGGAAGTTGCACTTTCCAATTCCAGGTATATATTAATTTCCAAAAACAAAACATTATTAAATCTCCTAAATCTAAAACAAGGATACATGAATCATTAACGTCTAAACATAGCATATTATTGTAAAAAATAGATTTAAAGTTCTAGGAAGTAAAATATTAAACAAGCAACTCATGCATAAACTTTCTGAGAAGTTACTTTTGAGGAAATAACTTCCCTAAAAGCACGAGTAGTTAAGTCAAGCAAACCTAAATCGACAACTCCATTCAAATAAAATTCTTCTAAAATGTTCTGATTAAGATATAACTATCAAATAAGTTCTCTCAACATATTCCGAATAAGCTACTCTACATCTCAACATAGTGTTATAGCAATTGCATCAAGCCATTGAGGAGACAACAGGTTCAAGGGAGATTTTACCATGGCATATAATTCTACACTCTTAGCAATAAATAATGGTAAAAAAATCTACAGTCTATTATGTACTCAGTACCATAAATGCCTCAAACATTGTCTAAATCTTGTGAACGCTATAACCCGCTTCCTCAGATGTCAAGTTCTCCTTCCAATTCTCAAATTCTGCTCCCCCAAACATCAATTGCTTGATCCCAACAAAACTATCAACACAAACAGAAACCACAAAGATCGATGAGTACGTCAGCAAAAAAACAAAAAAAAGAGGGGGAGAGGGAGAGAGAGACAAAGAAACGTGCGCCATCATGTGTACAGGGAGAGAACTAACTAATCAATGGTTTTTGCATTAATCTTATCAATACTGTTTGATTGCAAGTGAGCGGCACAATTAATGCCAAAATCATTACAAATGTGTAATAACTTTTTGTTTCTTTTGCTTTTTGCGTCATATCAGCAATAGCCTACACCATAAATTTATAAATTTAATGAAGGCACATGCTGCACATATAACCCGCCGCGGGAGTAGAAGTTGAAAAGCACAACACAAAAATGACAATCTCCCACTTGTTTGTAGAGCCCAAATGGCTCTGGCTGGCTAGTCCTTTAAACCAGAATAGTCAACCAAGTGGAAGAAAAGCAAGAAGTGAAGAGCATACTCGGAGCTTATCTGGGTCAATGCGTTTATTAAAACATCCAGAATCAATGGTTCATTAGTTCCAATATCGACCCTGTCACATCACAACTACAAATTATTAATAACTGAACCTCAAGTCTCATTAACGTGTAAACAAGAAGTAAAGGGAGGAAAAACAGAAGATATTGGAGCAATACCATATTCGAGCAAGGTTATCTTGGACCTCAAGATCCCCAATGTTGTAAAATGTAGTTGGTGTCACATTCGCCCCCTGAATATAATCATAACTTGGTCTCTTGTCCAAAGGACTTTGTGATAGCTGTAGGAGTACGGCTAGTTCATTAAGGACCATCATCAATAAAAAATATAAACATAAACAATGCGGTTCATACAAACTCTAATGCACAAGACTCAATCTTATTACATTGAAAAATTTACAATTTACAAAGCATTCAAATGGCATCCATTAGAGAAGAGAATCTTACTTGCATATTCATAGAATTGCATCCACCGAGACGTCCAACTATGTGCCATGCCCGAATAGTCTGATCAGAGTCAAATCAAACAAGGTCAACTAAAGTCCCTAACATATACAACTGCATCTATAAATATTGGAGAATGAACTAAATACCCATTTTACTACACGGATGAGGCATTTCTCAACTTAAGACATATAAAATTGCCATTTCAATTTGATCCTTCACGGATATATATTTCTAAATAATGTCATATTTTTTGGTGAGTTATCACTTACTCACGCTTTTATTATATATAATTTAAATAAAGATTCACAGTTAGTTTCATTAATAGTAAATAGTTTAACGGACTTAGCTTTTGTCGGCTTCATATATGAAGGACCAAATTGAGAAAGCACTTGAGAAATACCATATATATGAGATTATGAGGGATCAAATTGAAAAGGCAATCCCACGAGGGACCAACTCAATGAAAACAGTGTTATAGTCATTAGCGAATGAACAATACAAGAGCATCTTGAGTTGCATGAAGTCCCTTACATCACAAAGTAAGGAGATGTCCTTTGCAAGTGGAGTATTGTAGAATTCAATCCATATGTACGAGTTTGAGAAATCAAATCTGGAAATTCCACCATTAAGGGTATGAACAATAGTAACAAGGGCATTATTTAGGCATATTCCAACTCAAGAAAAGAAACAAAACCACAATTAAAGAAAATATAAACTTCAATTGATGCTTAATTATGATGCACATTAGGGGACCCAAAACAAAAAGGTAAAGGACAATTACATAACATTCACCCAATTATATATATACTCAAGAAAAAGACATCCGTTAAAAAATACCCTCTAACATTTTGGTAGGCAAATTTGATGGGGAAAAAAATGAAACTCACACCTATATTTTATTCTAAGAAAAAAGGCCAAGAATTATTTATCATAAGTGCCAAAAAGAAACAATTATATAGTTACAAGGTACACATATCTGAAGCCGTAGTAAAGTCATTCATCACCAAAGCCATGCATATCACTCTCTCAAAGATCCCAAAGACCACATTGTATTTCTTGTCTTCAAATGCAACGTTGTACATATATGTTAATAGCTTACTAAGAGAGATTACTGCAGCAAATGACAACAGAGGCAAAATCCTGCAAACATCCATGATTAAACTTACTTGTTAAATGACACTTTCATTGGTACTCCCGATCCGGTCTTTGAGTGCAGTATCTTGCTCCTCTTCTTTCTTAACCTCTCCTCCATCTGAAATTTTGTTAAGTAGCTCCAATGAGATTATCGCTCACTGAAGGGTTTCCTTAATTATCAATTACTATAAATGGCCACAAATATCAAAGCGACAAATATCATCCTTAAAGAAAAGGCATTATGGAAACAATATAAAATTCCCTCATAAGAATACATCAAGTAAACATTTACATGTAGAAACCGAGCAAACCATCTTTAGATTATTTTGCTTACTTTGGATCGGGCCTTGCTCGGGTCATCAAGACAACTTCCAAGAATTTCAGCAAATTCTGGATCACGGTCATAATCTTTTTCTTGTTTACCTGCATATGCCCCTCGACCTGAAAATCCAGCCGCATAATCATTTTTATCTTCTTGTTCATCCTCAAGATCAATATCCCCGGTCTCTCTTCTTGCATACAGTCCCTGAGCTGAAAATTCGCCTACATCCTCCTCCTTGGATTCTTGTTCTTCATCAAAAATATCTATATCAATATCCTTACTCTTCACCTTTTTGTGCGGATCTTTCACATCACATAAGAATCGTATGTTTCTAGTATAGCTTGGGACTATCAGTGCAACAGATGAAGATGGCACAAAGATGTTGTTGTGGAAGAAACGTTTGGAGCATGTAATGGCTGGGCCAGTCTGAAGGGAAGCAGAGAGATGAAGGATAGCCATGAGTTGTGTGATAAATTTGATACGGAAGAATGAATCGTTGAGGCCAGTTATCTCTAGTCTTCCATTAACCTGCACTAAGTATGTAAGAGGCTTTAGACCAATACATGGGTTGGGCAGATGACAAAAGTTCCGGCCAGAATTTTACACGAACCATGCATACAGGAGTCGTCAAGCTTGTGACGTATTTGACACAATTATAGCGATATGTCACGTGCTAAAATAATATTCTGCAACATGACCAATGGATGTAAACAAAACTTAAGACAGCTTTGAATGCACATCAAAATTCTCCACTCGAACCATACGCTCCAAAGAACAACATAAAGTGCACATTACCACCAAATTACACGAATATCAACATCCTAAGATAAAACTTCTAAAGCATTTTTTATTTCATCATTTATAAAACTGAATACATCTGGGTTTACTTTTTGATAGATACCCCAAGGAATATAACCGACTACCGGTTATGCATAAAAACTTGCTGGTCTAATTGAAGATTGTAAGTATTGGTCAAAAAATGGAGATTGAAATAAAGTAAAGAATCATATATATGGTAGTATTATGAGTAGAGTAACTAGCTCTTCCTCATGGGAAGAATAGGAAAGCAATGTTAACCTATCAATGATCTAAGTTGATTCGCACTCCTTTTTCAGAGTCAGCAGAATTTGACGCTAAGATATCCAAAAGAGAATTAAGTGATTCAACAAATTAAAAATTCCGCGAGGTTGCAGAAGGAGCGTACCAGATGTGTACACAGAATCTTAGAAGAAGTTAACCTCCTGAACAGATCGTACAAGAGGGCAACCACCAGAACAGGGCTCCGTGAGGGAGATAGTTTGCTGGTTCCTCGGTTCCTTGCTTCAGTGGCGAAGCTGTGGCGATGAGTCGGCGACAGTAAGGACTGAGGACTGAGGAGTAAGCGAGGAGTCAGTGAAGTTAATGCTGAAGAAGACGATAGGCTGCTTCCTTCTTGCTCGGCTGTTCCTCGCTCTTTTTACTTCTTTTTCTTTCCTTCGAAGAACAGGTAAAAATGCATTTTTTTTCTGGGTCAAGATGCACGAAAACTATTTTTTTTGTGCATCCGGTAACATTTTCCCTAATATTTAATACTGTAAAATATTTTTTTAAGTATGATTTAAGCATGGTGAAGTATTTTTTATATATTTTGAAGGTATTTTTAGTACTCTAAAATACTCTTCTGATCCTAAATATAAAATCCCTTCTATAGTGTAAATATACATTACAAAAAAAGTCTTATATTTAGGACCGAAGTAGTATTTTTTAGTACAACTAAAATCAAGACCAAAAAAATATTTAAAAGTGTTAGACTCATTTGAAAAAAATTTTAGGGTACTAGATACATTACAAAATATTTTAAAGTAAAATACATTTACTGCCCTTCTATCTTATCTCAATTATAAAAACCTCTTCTCTATTTTAAAAAAACGTTTTTTGGTGCATCTAGTATGAAAGCCAAAAAAAAAAAAATACTTAAGCATGTTGGACGTATCTGAAAAATTTTTCTGGGTACTAATGTACCACAAAATACTTTAGAATAAAATACACCAACTGCCTTTCTACCTCATCTCCATTACAGAAACCCCTCCTCTATTTTGAATATATATATATATATATATATATAAACTTTCTTAAAATTAAAACATATGTTTCACAAACCTCTCAATTATATTTAAAATTTCATGTCCATCTACTCAAACTCTAGTTCATTGTTAAGCTTGACTTTAAATTATTTTTTGATCAAAATACCCTTTTTTTGCATAATAATTATTTAGATACTTAGATTTTCCAGAAAATATTTTTTATAAAATCAAAAAATAACTCTAATGCATATATTTTTGGGAAAATGACAAACAAAAACGCTTGAATTACTAAAATTACAAGGAAGTCACCTAAATGAGCCAAATTACCATGAGGAACCTAGTCCCATATGGCAAATATGAAATCTTGGTGAAATGTCTAAAATACCCCTCAGTCAAATGACAAGTTAACTATAAAAATGACAAGTTCACTTTAGCGAATGACAATTTCAGTAGATCAAATCACAATTTAACTGAGGGTATGCCAAATGACAAGTTGACTATAAGAAATAACAAGTTCATTTTAACGAATGACAATTCTAGTAAGCCAAATCATAACTTGGCTAAGAGACATTTCAGACATTTTATCAAGATTTCATATTTGCAATATGGGGCCGAATCCCTCATTGTAATTTGGCTTATTCAGATGACCTCCTTGTAATTTTGGTAATTCAGGGGGTCTTTACTTGTCATTTTTCCTATATTTTTAAATTTTTTAATATGTTATAAAATTTATTAATTTTGATTTAAATCATAAAATTCTATAATTTTAATTTGTTATCATATTCATTAGAAATTATTTACTTTGATTTCTTTTAAATTGTAAACATATATTTCAAATACATAGTTTTTGTTTATCATAAAGTTTAAATAATATAAGTTTAGAAAATTTTATAAATTAAATTTATCATTCAACATTTTTAAAACACATCTTTTTACAAAATTTATAAACATATTTAGTCAAGTATATATGTACTGAAAAAATTAGTTAAATTTTTAATCAAGTCTTTTATGTTTGTCTTAATTAAATGAAATTTATATAACTGTAAAAATACAATGTAGGAATTTATTAAAATGAGAAGTAAAATAGTAAATAAAATTTATTTTAATATAAATTTTAGTTAAAAATAATGTTTTTATAATGTTTTTAGAGTATTTCTAATTGTGTTAACTGATTGGACTAAATTGTATATTGTTAAAATAAAAAAATTATATGTAATTGATGTAAATTACAAAGGTAATCAGAGTATTTCACTCAATACTTTAGCACACTAGATGCATCTTATTTTTTTTTTTATACAAACCATAAACCCTAAAATGTTTTTCGTCTAATTTTATCTTTTAAATTTAAAATTTTCGTAATAAAATTTTAGTGGTAAAAGTTTTTACTTTAATATTTAAATATATTTCTTATTATTGTGTCTTTCAAATTTACTATTGAGTTATTTATATTTTATTGTGTGGTTCTGAATACATTATGTATAATTTATCTTAACAAAGGAAATAAAAAGTACTCTTCCGGTCCTAAATATAATACCCTTATACCAGTGTGCATAAGAGTTTTATATTTAAGACTAGAAGAGTACTTAATATGGTTGGCAAAAAAAGGTATATAATATGGTTAAATTAATTGTGATAAAAAATGTAACATGATTTACATCATTTGTTGGTTGGCGAGTGGAAGTTTAATGGCAAAAAAAATCATAAAATCTAAGACTATAACTACAGTATTTGCATTTGAATGTAAATCCCAGTTATGTTAGACCTGATAAATAAAGTTAAGGTTTATTGAGATTTAAATTTAAGCTTAATAACAAAACAGGACAATCTCTGGGGGGATGTAAGAACCTGTTGTCTTTCAAATTATATGCAGTTTTTAAAAGAAATATTGTTATCCATGCACGCATGGCAATATAAATTTTCAAGAGGTTAGTCTAATTATATATTTTTCAGGTCAAAAAAAGTATAGTTATATATTAAAGGGTTAAGATGCATTTAACACCCTGAAATATTTTTTTTGGTACATCTAGCACTGTAAAAGTATTTTGTGATGTATTTAACACCTTGAAATATTGTTTTAGGTGCGTCTAACACCTTAAAGTATTTTTTGGTGCATCTAGTATCTCAAAGTATTTTTTTTAGATATATTCAGCACCCAAAAATATTTTTTAGTGCATCCAACACCAAGGCAAAAAAAAAAAACTTCAGGATGTTGAGCTCCCCACAAAAAATATTTCAAGGTGTTAAATGCACCACAAAATACTTTAGTACACTAGATGCACCTGAGAAAATATTTGGGGGTGTTAAATGCACCTTAACCCTATATTGACCCTTGTTGGGAGAGTACCCATATTCTGTACCCAGCGTCTTAAACAGGGTTGTCTTCGCTAAGAGAGTACATGTGCCTTTTCAATTGAAAAGAAGAAGAAGAAGAAGAAAGAATACGAAGATGGCCGAGTTGTTTTGGGTTCTACAGAACAACACCATAAACCTCATTTTCTGATGTGGGATGAGTTACGTCGTCCTTTGGAGCAAGGGGGTTTGCAATTTCGAAACATCAGCCTTTTCACTCAGGCTCTGCTTGCAAAGCAATTTCGGAGGATTATTGATGGGCATGGATCCTTATTATGTTCAATCCTAGGACAAAACTATGGTACACATGGTTCTTATTCACAATTTTTAACCGGCATACAATAGTTCAATAAATTTGAAGGACGTGTTCAAGTCGAGAGAGATTATTCTTAATCACCTTACTTGGAGAATTGGGGATGGTCAGTCTATTTCGTTGGATGATCGGCCTCGGGGGCCTTTGAAACAGTTTGGCTGCTCTTTCTCTAATTTGAAACTGGCATACCTTATACTGCGCGAACGGCAAAATTGGGATTTTAAGAAATTATACTCTCTTCATCCGAGTAATGCGGTTCAGAATTTTGATCTCCATCTTCTGTCGAAGTTCCCCACGTCAGACTCACTTTGTTGGGAGAAAAATAACCGGGCTTTGTATGCAGTTAAGGCTGGTTATCAATTCATTTGTAGCCTACTAACGAAGTCTTCCAGTTAAAATCAAAAGACAGAAGTAGTGTTACAGTTAGAGGATGGTGTTCTGAAACCTGGAAGTTGAAACTGCAACCGTGAGTCAAAATGTTTTTGTGGCTTTCGCCTCATGCACTGCCTACTTCAGATACTTTGCAGAGACGTCGTCTTTCGATTGATACGAGTTCCTGTCATTGTTCAGGTAAGGAGGACTCTTTGGAACATATTTTCTTATATTGTCCTTTCGCCAAGTGCCTGTTGGTTTGGTAGTTTTTTTTTAAATTTAAGAGTTGATCATTTTCCAAACCCTTCCTTGATGTTTCGTGATAAATAAGGCAAAGGATAGTGAATACTATTATGAGTAGCATCTAAATTTAACATTAGCATATATGATCATATTAAAAATATAATTAGATTTCCTTCTAGACGACCATATTTTACACATGGAAAAGTAGAATTGTCTTGTTCCCAACCAAAAAATATAATAAAAATAACTTAACAATAAGATGGATATTACATTATCTCCTTTTATTACCCGGGCCGGCAAGAAAAGAATCCCATTTCCATGAGTGCACAGATCGAGGTATTTGAATTCCAATGACCAAGCATCACCAGGCAGAGACTCAATACCATGAATAACACAGTTTCAGCATTCTTCAGCAAATATTATGTCAAAGACAAATTGAACTGCACCGAAATGTCCAAGAGTCAGAATGGGGCAAGTGAACATAATACAAGAGAAAGGCAAGAAACTTATTAAAGCATAATACATAAAAAAGCAAAAAAAATTTCTCTAATTAGAGATCCTACTGCATGAAAATAACAAAGTTACTACTTATTAGCAATACGAGAGAGTAAGAGGGGAATGCTATAGAGCTATTTTTAACAAAGTAATTACGATAACCATGCAGAAGAATGAGAGACTACTTCCAAAGATATGCACGAAAACAAATAAAGAGACAACTCATATTGATATATTAATATTTCACACTGCCTAGATGAGTGCCAAGTGCCAATAGACAGCGGGCAAAATTTAGCATTAATTTTCAGCATCTTCCATTTTTTAAGCTTGAAGCCTTTTTTTTTTTTTTTCCGGCCCCACAGCTTGAAGCCTTTTAAACTCCTTACAAATTATACAGAGTTTTCGTCATTATTTCCCATGCTTGTTCAGTCGTTTGTCCTTGAGAGGAAGGGAGGAAACAGGACTACACCAAAGCTGTTAAAATCAAGTTAGCTCGTGAACTTGGCCAAGTTTAATAGCTTGGGTTAAAACTTCAAGAGCATGAAAGTTCTTCATAAAGATATTACTCAATCTACA